TTTCCCTTTGCACAGCTTCTCCTCTCTCGCCCACGTGATCTCGTTTCGGATAGTTGGTTTTAGGACGTCTGCGGTATATTGAGAGAAGGTCAAGGCCGATTCATAGAAGACTGTTTAAATTTCCTCTTAGATTTGAATTTGGAGAATGTTGGCCGAGATGGTGACCAACCTGTCCACGCCTCCCGGAGCTGCGGATGATTCGTCATGGCTAACTTCTTTAAAGATGCATGGGGCTGAAGTTTTGCCGGCGATTTATTTTCCCTTTGACATCGTGATTTTCTCTGGCGACGGTAGCTTGCGACTCCTTAATCGCATAAAAGGTTGTGAGACTCGTCGGAGTCCCACTGGCGTGCCAATCTGTTGTCGCTGAAATTCGTCGATGACGGCCCAAAATATCTAGGCCAGTTGAAATTGACAATAATCGGATTCCCCGGCCTACTAAAGAACTTATACGGGCTAGTCTTGCAATAAAAATAAATCGACGAAAGAGATATAGACGTTGCGTTGCTGAATTATGAAGAAGACGAAGAAGAATAGTGAAAAAAGATTATGGAAGAAATTGGATTAAATTGCATTAAATTGGATAATTAAGACTAAAAAGAAAATAAAAAAAGTAATGTAGGAATAGAAAATGGAAAGAAAAATGAATAAATTTTGCTGTTGTCGATCGGATGATACTAGATAATCTCCCTAAATTCCTCTTTTTAAACTTAATCGGTAATTGCTTTCCAAGTCACGCTCCTAAAAGTTAGGAATTATTTTCTTCACTTCTCCCACCATTTTAGGAATAAACTTAAACTACCCTATTCATCACTCTCACTTCTCGTCCGTCCAAATATTACTCCTCTGGCTGGTTTTGTTCACTGGGCTTATCATTGGGTTCTCATCCAGAATGGACTGATTCTCTTCGGGCCGATTTTGTGGAGCTTTGGGGTGTGTCAGCTGGTTCATTCGAGTTAGGCTTAAAACTAGTTTTTGTAAGATAAACAAAAGTATTTTTGTTATTTTATCTCAATTTGTATTATATTTTGATATAATAATTAATATTCAAATATCAACGTGTAAAAAGTAAATATGACTATTAGAAACTGATGAAAAAAAAGAACATAACTTTTATAAAAATAAAAATATATATACTATATTTTTATTAGAAATAACAAAGATTATCTAAAAAACACACTAAATAAATCAATTTCAAAAGTAGTTGTAAATTTTATTAAGAAAATAGAGATATCAAAACAATACAAGATATTACGTGGAAATTCAAAAAAAAAATTCTAATAATTAAAAATACCTAAAAGTAGAAAATATTCCTAATGTAATGGGTATGTTCCAGAAGGCATGGAAGTTAGCAATGAAGAATTAATGACGTTAAGAGAGATAGGAATAAGAGTAGTTGGTAGTTGCCAACTCATTAATGCATATTCTTAAATAAAACTTTGTTGACACGGCTCCGCTAACCATGGTTGAGATGGAGAGTAGTACTGTAGTACTAGGTGTGTAAAACATAGGTATAGGCAGACATAAACAAATTTACCGAATTTAGCGAAATACCGATTTATCGTACCGTATTGTGTCGAAAATATCAAAAATTTGAGTATACCGAAAATTTTGGTACGGTTTTTGGTACGATATTAATATGAATTTTCGAAAAATTCGGTATCTCGGTATGATACCGTACCGATATTATTTTTATTAAATAATTCAATTATTAATATAAATAATAAATATTAATATCTTTTTTAAAATCATAACAAAAAAATATGTAAACTATTGAAAATTTATTTATTTTTTCATAATATTTTTGTGGTGGAGAATTGTGATATTTATTAATTTTTTTAATTATTTTAAAATTTAAAATTATATTTTTGGTATAATCAGTATATACCGGTATCTACCGGTATCGTACCGAAATTGAAATTTTCGGTATAAACGATATATACCGGTACCGTACTGAAAATATCGGTGTACCGAAATTCGGTATATTGAAACGTACCGGTATATATTTTAGTCATACCGAAAAATTCGGTACGGTATCGATATCGACCTGTATTTTCGGTACGGTATCAATATCGACCTATATTTTCGGTACGGTATCGATATCGACCGGTATTTTCTTCGCAATTTTTAAATTTTTTAATTATATTAATACTCGTAATTAATACATTACAATTAAATTTTTAATTAATACTATTTTCTTCCAGCTTTAAAAATCTCATTTACTTTTTGCGTATTGATTTTTGAATATTAATTATTATATCTAAACATCGTACAAATTTAAAAAAAAAATTATAAAAATACTTCCATTAGTATCTTATAATACTAATAGAATTATAGTTGTAGAAAAAAACTATATAAAATGAAAAATATTTTTAATGTTAATTATAATGACGCAAAAGATAAATATAACCTAAGAAACGAAAGAAATTATTATTATTATTATTATTATTATTATTATTATATAAAACAAATCGAAATGGATCGTACATCTAACATAATTTTTCTCCTTTTTTTTTGTTAATTTTATAATTAAATTATTTTATACTCCTTCTGTCCCGGTTAAGATGACCTTTTGGTTAAGGACACGATATTTTAGGTAGGGTAGATTAGTAAGTTATTAATAATAAGTTATGCTATTATTTTTGTATGAGTAGTGTTGTTGGCATTTTATATATTTTTAGCATTATATATCAATAAAATATATACAATATATATATCATTTTGTATAGAATAAAATTTTATATAATACAAATAAATAAATAATAATAATTTATTTATTTATAATTAACTTAAAACTAATTTTATTAAAAATAAGAAGTTTTAAATATAGATAAAAAAATATTTATTTATTGAGGAGAGAAATATAAATAAAAGGATTTTAATTACATTAATTTATATTTGTTAAATATTTTTAAGATGAATAAATTTATTAAAAATAAAAAGAAGGTCATCTGTCGTGGAACGGATGGAGTATTAATTATATATTAGTGGTGAAGTTGTGATTAACACAATTAATAAAATACTTCAATATATTTCATAGTGTTTTTTTTAGTGCTTTTTAGTTTTATATATTTTGAGGTCCGTTTCTAATAATTATAGGATCCGGGACAAAGTAAAAAAATGGGCTCTTATATATCTTTTTTATTAATATAATTATAAAAAAAAGCTATATTTAAATTCAATAATAAAATTATTTTTCATATATCAAAAGATTAAAATAAAAAGAAATTATTTATTAATATTTTTAGTTTGAATTATAATTTTTATACTAAATATAGTAAAACCATATCGATAATATAAAAAAAAAATGTTTTTTTCTTATTGAGTTATTAAACTTTTTGTCAGTTGATAGAATATATTATATATATTTTGTGAGCATATATGCATATGTCGTATTTTATGATAATATTAATTTTAAAGTATCAAAAATATTTATTAAATAAAAGTAACCAAATAGCTTATTTTGTGTTTTGTAATATTTTTGTGTATTTTAAAAATAATAAAAATTTTAAATTAAAAAATTATTTAATTTAAATAAATAATAAAAATATAGATTAAATTAAAAAAAGAAAACCTAAAGAGTATAATTGTTTAATATTATAAAATACACTAGTTTTTTAAAATAATTAAATATAATATTAAATATTAAATATTAAATATACATACAAAATAAAATAAAAATATATAAAATTATCATTCACTATGATAACTTTAAAAAATTTCATATTTCACAAAAAAAACACCAAACATTATAAATATTAAACTCACACTAAAAAATACAAATAAATACATAATTAGTAAATTAATTAAAAATAAAAATTGTAAATTAAAATAAATTATTTAATAACAAATACAAAAATTATTTATTTATTTTATAAAATATTAAATATATTCTAAAACAAATTTATAATACTATTAATTATATATATATATGACTATTGGGGCCACTTGGGCCCCTTTTGGAGATTGGCCCTGCCCAAGGCAGGCCTGTAAATTTTTTAGTAATATATAGAAAATTGCTATGGTACTATAATAAGGAATAATGATGTGTATGTTAGAGAGAATTGTGATGATATTATAAAAATGTGTTATATATATATTATACACATCACGTCGACGTAGATATATTTTAGTGTATGGATGCATGTTATACAACAAACTATTACGTGTACTATAACCATGTGTGATAAGATTATGAATGAACACACACACAGAATTCCTCAATCAAAATATTTATTATTGTTATCATGTTTCTCTCTTTCCCTCTATAACTATATACATATATATATATATATGTATATTTACAAACACATTCGTACTCGTACATACATATATCACACTTACCTTTATAATATATTATTATTATATAATACGTTATCAGCACGAAGACTCTTGTCTATTTTATTTTTAGTAATTTTTTTTTTATACTATCTATATTATCTATTTTCTACATTATGAAAAATTTTGCAAAATTTTCTTTTAAATCTCTGTCTCTCACCGGCAATAATTTTCTGACTTGGTCCCTGAATGTAGAAATGCATCTAGTTTCTATGGGCCTTGTTCATACAATTGCCAGTGAAAATACGGCTACAAGCCAAGATTGGGCTAATGCTATTATTTTCATCCGTCATCATTTGGACATTCCTTTACGGTCTGAATATTTGACGGTGAAAGATCCACTAGATTTGTGGAATGAATTGAGGGAGAGATTTGGGCACTTGAAATATATCACTCTCCCCAAAGTCCGACATGATTGGCTTAACCTGCGATTGCAGGATTTTAAAACTGTTATAGAGTACAACTCTGCTATCCATCATATTACATCTCAGTTGAAAATCTGCGGATAAATTGTTACTAAGAATGATAAATTAGAGAAGATTCTCTCTACATTTCATGCTTCTAATGTTGTGCTGCAACAGCAGTATCGCGAGAAAATTTTTCAAAAGTACTCACAGCTCATTGCATGTCTTTTATTAGCTGAGCAAAATAATGAATTATTGATGAAAAATCATCAGTCCCGGCCCACTGGTTCCACTCCGTTCCCTGAAGCGAACGTGACATTTTCTGAACGAGGCCGTGGACGTGGTCACGGTCGCGAGAGTCAACGCGGTCGATATACCTCTTACAATCGCCGCAGTTTTGACGTTAACAGGGTGCAGAGTAAACCCCAATATAGGGATATAGCCGAAAAGGCTAAACAGGAAAAGAGGCATATCGGCATTTGTAATCGGTGTAGCATTGAAGGCCATTGGGCCAATACCTGCAGAACAACCAAACACCTAGCCGATCTTTATCAAGCCTCACTGCAGAAAAAAGGGAAGGAGGTCGAGACTAGTCACGTTGATAATGATGACGACCCCGATGATGATCTTCTGGATTACGACACAACGCATCTTGATATAGCGGATTTTGTCGTAGATCCTGCAAACCCCCAGTCATAGACATATTATGTTATTTTACATTATATTTTGTAATATTTAAATTATCACATACCACCTTTTTGTAATGCATTTTGTAATATTTATATTTGCTTTTATTAATACTACGTTTATTTATATTTGAAGGTTAAATGGATGCCAATCAAAATGATGCAAATATGTGTTTCATTGACAGTGCAACAACACATACTATATTGAAACACAAAACATATTTCTCTCATTTGAAAAGGGAAAGAATGAATGTCAATACAATAAGTGGCAGTGCAAAATTAATTGAAGGCTTTGGAGAAGCCATTATATTTCTCCCCACGGGGACCAAAATTGTGATACAGTATGCACTATTGGCCACTAAAGCTCGAAGAAATTTACTGAGCATTCATGACATTCGGAAAAATGGTTATCACATTGAAACTATGAGTGGTACCGATGGTGAATTTTTATTGATCACCAATATCATTGATAAAAGGAAATACATCATTGAGATATTACCCTAACTCTCTATTGGCTTATATTACACCAAATTAGGTGTTGTTGAAACACACCTCACGGTAGATCAAAAGATTACTGATTTTCAAATATAGCATGATCGCCTTGGCATCCTGGCAGTATAATGATGAGGCGAATAATTGAGAATTCGCATGGCCATTCATCAAAATGTCAAAAAGTGTTCAACTCAAATGAGTCAACCTGTGTTTTCTGCACTCAGGGAAAATTGATAATTAGGCCATCACCAACTAAAGTAGGTATTGAATCAGCTACATTTTTGGAAAGAATACACGGAAATATATGTGGACCAATAGACCCATCGTGTGGGCCATTTAAATATTTTATGGTGCTTATTGATGCATCTACGAGATGGTCTCATGTCTGTTTATTATCTACTCGCAATATGGGATTTGCGAGATTGCTTACCCAAACAATTAAATTACGGGCACAATTCACCGATAATCCCATCAAGACTATACGTCTGGATAATGCTGGTGAATATACATCGAATGCATTTGATGATTATTGCATGTCGATTGGAATTAATGTAGAGCACTCAGTTGCTCATGTTTATACACAAAATGGCCTGGCAGAATCACTTATTAAAAGATTGCAATTGATTTATAGACCATTACTAATGAGGTCTATATTGCCTGTTTCAGCTTGGGGGCATGCAATCTTACATGCAGGAACACTCATAAGAATGAGGCCGACAAACTATCAAAGCTATTCTCCTATGCAATTAGTATTTGGTCACGAATCAAATATATCTCATCTACGTATTTTTGGGTGTGCTGTTTATGTTCCTATTCCACACCCAAATGTACAAAAATGGGTCCTTAACGTAGATTGGGCATTTATGTCGGATATGAATCGTCGTCAATTATAAAATATCTTGAACCTATGACGGGTGATTTATTCACTATAAGATTTGCAAATTGTCATTTTGACGAATCATATTTTTCGACATTAGGGGGGACAGAAATGAACCGAAAAGGGATATTAATTGAAAAATCCCATTGAATTTTTATGATTCTCGTACAAAGCAGTGTGAACTAGAAATTCAACGCATTATACATTTGCAAAATATTGCAAATCAGTTACCGGATGCATTCAATGACTCAAGCAAAGTCACTCGATCATATATCCAAGCTGCTAATGCTCCGGCTAAAATAATTGTCCCTGATGGACAAATTACAAGTGCTAATGAATCAGCGACACGCTTAAAGCGTGGTAGACCACTCAGTTCCAAAGACAAACATCCTCGAAAGAAAAGAAGAATTAATGATGATAATCATGGAAATAGTAGGAATGACATTGATAAACCTCAATCTAACGAGGAAATCAACCCTGAAATAATTGCTCAAGAAGAGTACAATCTTGAAGAAAATAATGAGATTATTGAAAACACAATTAACTATGTTACTTCAAAAAATGTTGGAACCGCAAAGAGGCAATTATTGACAATACATTCGTATACAGTTTAGCATTTGATATAATGGAAGAAAACAAAGATCCAGAGCCCAAATCGGTTCATGAATGTCGGCAAAGAAATAACTGGCCAAGATGAGAATATGCGATTCAATCAGAGCTTGATTCATTAAACAAAAGGGAGGTCTTCGGACCAATTGTTCAAACACCAGATGGTATAAAACCAGTTGGATACAAATGGGTGTTTGTACGAAAAAGAAATGAGCATAATGAAATTGTGAGATATAAAGCCCGTCTTGTAGCTCAGGGATTCTCACAAAGGCCTGGAGTAGATTTTGATGAAACGTACTCTCCAGTTGTCGATGGAATAACATTTAGATACCTTGTGAGCCTAGCAGTGCGAGAAAAACTCGATATGCGTCTTTTAGACGTAGTTACTGCATATCTGTATGGCTCCTTGGATACTGATATTTATATGAAGGTTCTCGAAGGATTCAATATGCTTGAAGCATACAAATTAAACCCAAGAGAATCATATTCCATCAAATTGAAAAAGTCATTGTATGGACTTAAACAATCAGGGCGAATGTGGTATAACTGTCTCAGTGACTGCTTAATAAAAGAAGGTTATACTAATGATCCAATATGCCCATGCGTTTTTATAAAGAAAAATGGATCAAATTTTGTCATTATTGCTATATATGTTGATGATCTTATATAATTGGAACTTCTGAAGATATCCAAATTGCAGTTGAATATCTAAAGAAAGAATTTGAGATCAAAGATTTTGGAAAGACAAAATATTGTCTGGGATTACAAGTGGATAATGTGAACAATGGAATATTCATCCATCAATCCACATATACCCAAAAGGTATTAAAACAATTTTATATGGATAAATCCACTCTCTGAGTACACCAATGGTGGTCAGATCCCTTAATCCCAGTAAAGATCCATTTAGACCAAGAGAAGAAAATGAAGAAATACTTGGCCCCGAGGTACCATATCTGAGCGCTATTGGCGCATTAATGTACCTCGAAAATTGTACCAGGCCAGATATATCTTTTTCAATAAATCTACTAGCCAGGTTTACCTCATACAATATTATTTGAAGATAATGTAGCTTGTATAGCTCAATTAAAGGAGGGTATATTAAAGGCGATCGGACAAAGCACATATCTCCAAAGTTCTTTTTCACTCACGATTTTCAGAAAAGTGGTGAAATTAATATGCAACAAATTCGATCGTCTGAAAATTTTGCAGATTTATTTACGAGGCACTGTCGACTGCAACATTCAACAAATTGGTACAATGAATTGGAATGCGTCGGGTGAAAGACATCAAATAAAGTCCAAAACAGGGGGAACGCATTAATACAAGAATGATGTACTCTTTTTCCTTCACTATGATTTTTTCTCACAGGGTTTTTTCATAGTAAGGTTTTAACGAGACACATTCTTTATATAAAGCATCCAGGAAAGAGTGTTATACACATATTATACACATCACATCAACATAGATATATTTTAGTGTATGGATGCATGTTATAGAACAAACTACTACGTGTACTATAATTATTGCTCATTCCCCTATAAATATGTGTGATAAGATCATGAATGAACACACAGGATAGTTCCTCAATCAAAGCATTTATTATTGTTGTCATGTTTCTCTCTCTCCCTCTATAACTATATACATATATATACATCCTTAAATATATATATATATATATTTACAAACACACTCGTACTTATACATACATATATCACACTTACCTTTATAATATATTATTATTACATAACAAAGTGAATGTTTTGTGCTTGTGTGTGTTTCTCAAATTTGTATATTTTTGTTGATTTTTATTTTTATATTTATGTGACGTATATTATATTCTTTTTGTATAAGCCATATGTATTTTTTTTTAACATATAAATTTTACTAGACTCCCTCCGTCCCAGTGTAAGATTGTCATTTACTTTTTGTATATAGATTTTTTAATATTAGTATTATAATGAGTTATAGTGAAAAAGACAAAAATGCCCCTATTAGTATTGTATAATATAAAAGTAATGACATTTGTGTAAGTTGAAAGGGTATTTATTATATTAAGTAGGTAGTACAATTACTAAATTAGAAAATAATAACATTGTTTTGGGACAGACGAAAATGAAAAATGACAATCTTTTAATGGAACGAATGGAGTATTAGTATTTTATAGGTAATAGTATCATAAAAAGATAAAAAAAAATAATTTTGCGCTTAAATTCATAAGTTTTTAGTAGCATTATCTGTAATATTGTGTAAAGTATATGAATTTTTTTCCTTAAAGGAAAAAGTACTTTTTAATATAAAATATTGATATAGTTGAGTAAAGTGTAATATTGTGTAATATTATTTTAGTAGCATTATTTGTTCATTATTTGTAATATTGTGTAAATTATATGCATATGCCTATTATTAAAATAAATACAGTACTTATAGTAAAAAATGCAATTGATCTAAAGTAATTTTAGTTACAACCATAAACTTCAAATTTTATTCTAAAAAGTATAAAAAATATATTTTTTATATATTATTTTTTATATAATTTTATACAACCTTTTATATTTATAAATTACACAAAATTTGAAATTTTTATTACTATATATTTCTTTTCGAAACATAAAATTATATATTACCCTCTAAAAAATAAAATTACACCTTATTTTTAATAAAATATATTTACATAACACTTTTAGAAAAAATAAATTATGTGTTACATTTCAAAAAAATAAAAATACACATTATATTTCATAAAATAAAATTATATATCATTTTTCAAAAACAAAAAATAAAATTGCACAACCAAAAAAAAAAAAAAAACCAACAAAATTATAAAATCAACTCCAACCCACTACAGTGCAAAATTTAGGGGGAGGGGCTCCAACTTTTTGTAGTATTTTGTGGTGTTGTGTATATTTTTGTGTTTTTTTTTTGGTGTATTGTATAATTTTATTTTTTTTAAAGATGATATATAATTTTATATTTTAAAAGTAATATATAATTTTATTTTTTTGGAGAGTGATATATAATTTTATTTTTTTCAA